ATTTATTTGACAGAAAGACACAGCCAGAGAGGGAACACAAGCAGGGGGAGTAGGAGAGGGAGAAGCAGGCTTCCCGCAGAGCAGGGAGCCCGATGTGGGGCTCAATTCCAGGACCCCAGGATCATGACCTGAGCCGAAGGCAGACGCTTAACAACTGAGCCACCCAGGCGCCCCAATATCTATTTATTCCAACATGGTTTTCCAGATTACCTTTTTTTTTTTTCAAGATTTTATTTATTTATTTGAGAGAGTGAGCTGGGGAAGGGGTGTAGGGAGAGGGAGAGAGAGAACCTCAAGCAGACTCCATGCTAAGCGTGGAGCCTGATGCAGGGCTTGATTCTGAGACCCTGAGTCACCCAGGCACCCCTACTGTATACTTTTTTAAATGATATCTTTAGTGGGCTTGTTTATAGGGACATTCGGCAGTTGAAAATGTCATATCATGCTCCTGTGAATCATGACCAAATCTGTTAAATTTCCTTGTAGGACTAATATTGATAGAAATTGTTCCAATGTAACCTCTCTCCCCCATCAGTGCTTTATTCAGAATTAGTTGTTTTATGAGTGAATGCCCTTATATTTTGGGAGATTTCATAAGAGGTCAGGTGTAAGGTGACCTTTTCTGAGAGATAATTTTGGAAAAAATTGTTAAATTTTTGCATATGGTATTTAGGTTGTATTCAAGCTGCACTCTTATGGATAACTTTAGTGTGCAATTCCTTAGGATAAATACATAGCATTGGATTTGCTGGGTCAGAGGGTATGACCCTTAAGCAGTTTAAAACCTGAGGTCCCATTGTCAGTAGCAAGGTTGTATAGATCTGCATGCACACTAGCAACATGAGACCCTTTACAAACTTTTTCAGTTTTCCTTGTTACTCTTATGGACATTCTGAGCCCAGGCACTAGAATTTTGTGGTCTATTTCATCTTGCGTATCAAAGTGTGGCTGTCTCCTTTGGATTCTGTTTTGTTTATTTATTAGAGGTTGAAGCCTTCATAGGGATATCCTCATTCATTTTCTGGAATTGGTTTCTCTCTATCCTTTCTTCAAGAGAGTTGGCAATTTTGCATACTAACTGTAAGGTTTTTGTTTTGTTTTTTCCCCATGTAATTTCTGTTTTCCTTCAAGAGCAAAGGAGCTGGGGGAAACACTGGATTCTCTGGGAAATATTGAGACCATGAAACAGATTATTTTTCAGGAAAGCTATGTAGCATTTTACGTGGAATTCAGGTATCAGTCCTATCGCTCAAACCCCAGTGCGCTCTTTGTTACAGCCTTTTACTTTAAATTCACTGTAATCTTCTATTGCAAAAACCCCCATTGTGTTTTATAAGATAAATTCACTTATGAAATCTGGAAATTGGTTGTTTTGATTCCAAACTAGGATTTTTGCTTTTCTGCAGCAGTACAAATGAGTAGCATTTATATAGATACATTGTTTTGCCTTTCTCTCAGGTGTGGACACCTCAAGATCGCCAGTGTATCCTAAATACCTTAGCCCAATTACTTCTGGATAAAGACTGTACTATGCTGGTTGGTCGCCAGCTGCGCCCTCTTCTTCTGGATTTGCTGGAAAGGAATGCTGAGGCCATTAAAGCCGGAGGTCAAGTCAACCACGATCTACACGAACGGCTCTGTGTGTCAATGAGCAAACTCATCTGTAACCATCCTGATGTCCTCCCGTGAGTAACAGTTTTTTCTTAGTATTTCTCCTTGAGGTAGTAGAACCAGCTGTCTCCTGGGAAGTAAAGGAGGAGTCTGAGTTGAGAAGAAGGAAAGAAGGGAAATATAAGAAGAAAGGTAAGTGGTATTGTTTTATAAAAATGATCACAACAGAATCCCTTTATCCAGCTCAGTTTAATGACCATTTTCTATGTTCTTTTAAGTCTTGGCCATCAAGACAGGCCTGGAAAAATGGCTAAGACATGTTCCCTGCCTTCAAGGATTGTATCATCTGGTGAGACATCCATATAAGGCGATTTAATTGTATTTACTTATTTATTTTCAAAGATTTTATTTATTTGTCAGAGAAAGAAAGAGTGTGCACAAGCAGAAGGAGCTGCAGGCCAGGCTCCCATCTGAGCAAGGAGCCCGATGCAGGACTCAATAAGAACTTTCATTCTAGGGGCGCCTGGGTGGCTCAGTCATTGTCTGTCTTTGGCTCAGGTCATGATCCCAGGGTCCTGGGATCGAGCCCCACATCGGGCTCCCTGCTCTGTGGGAGGTCTATTTCTCTCTCTCCCACTTCCCCTGCTTATGTTCCCTCTCTCGTCTCTCTCTGTCAAATAAATAAATAAAATTAAAAAAAAAAAACTTTCATTCTAAAGTTGAATAATATCTGTGCACTAATAAGAGTATCTCTCTCTTTTTTAAAGATTTTATTTGAGAGAGAGAAAGTGCGTGCGCACGAGCCTGTGCAAGTGGGGAGGGTCAAAAGGGGAGGAAGAAGGAGAGGGAAAAAGAATCTGAAGCGGATTCTCCACTGAACGGGCAGCCTGATGCGGGACTCGCTGTCAGAACTGTGAGCCATCCAGGTGACCCTTAAGAGTATCTGTTATATCCATCTCTTATTTATTAGTTTTCATCAACATAATAAGTACACTTTGGCTTTCTTGGAACTATGATCTCTAATCTGGTTCTTGAATGAAGGGTATAAGAAATGAAGGCTTGGGAGAAAGCCATAATTTGTATGAGCTTTTCTAAAAGGGGAGGGAAAAAATGAGCCCAGGTTGATGGAACTAGAAAATACACAGCAAATATCAATGTCAAACTTGGTAATTAGGAACATATGCTGTGGGTTGACTGAGGTTGAGATTGTGGCCTCACTTAGTGCTGTAATCATTTAGATGTACTTGTCTGTGGTACCATTTCATAAGGTATGCCAACTATCCTGTACTTACCATTTGAGATTGACGTGTGGGCAACTTGAACCCCATTTCTCCTAAGCCTTTGTGGTAGAGTGCTTCTGGATTGTGTTTGAGAATCATTAAAATGATGGATTAGTTATGTCTGATTTCCCATCCACTTCAAGTTTTATGTTCTTATTAAATGCACGTGAGCACACCCCTATTTTTTCTTCTTTTCATTTTGCCAAGGCTGGATATTTTATTTACGCTCCCATCTCATTCCAAAAATTATATAATGCAGTTTACAAAAGTGCCTGTGATAGAGTAATTTAAAAAACAAGCAAAAAAAAAGAGCTGTGTATAAACGAATCAATGCATGTTGTACAATAAACTATAGACAATGATGTAGAATGAGATTTTGATTTTTAGTTTTAAGAAGTATAGCTGATTGGGCGCCTGGGTGGCTCAGTTGGTTAAGCGACTGCCTTCGGCTCAGGTCATGATCCTGGAGTCCCGGGATCGAGTCCCGCATCGGGCTCCCTGCTCAGCATGGGGTCTGCTTCTCCCTCTGCCCTCTTCCTTCTCGTGCTCTCTGTCTCTCATTCTCTCTCTCTCAAATAAATAAATAAAATCTTTGAAAAAAAAAAAGAATTATAGCTGATTAATTCAACATGTGCCCCAAATTTCCTCTGTAGAGGAAATATACCTAATGTATTAGGAATATACCAAATATATTTAGATAGGATCCCCCAATTTTAGTTGAATCTTTTATATATCCTATATTAGATAGGATATAGTATATAGTCATAGGAGACCCTTCTTTTAAGCTCAGGGCCACATCATGTGGGTAAAAAAGTCAAATATAATGGGTTATTGATTTTGCAAACAATAGAATATTATACGCTAATGGAGGTGTGTAAGCCAAATACTTAAGGGGAGGAGGAAAATCACTAAAGAGGAATGAATGTTTTCCTCTTGGAAATCAGAGAAAATTTTGTACTGTGGCAAATTGTGGAGGAAAAGCAAGGAGAGGAAGAATGAAGAGAAAAGAAATAGGATAGCAGTGAAAATCTAGGGAAAAAAAAGAGACTGAAGAGAAGGTACTCAGTCTCCCTAGGGTCCTAATGCTTGCCATTCATTTATGGGTACATACCTCTTTCTGAGCTCAAGGTGTTGTTTGAGGCTTCCATGTGGTACTTCAGTGGTCTTAAGCATTTCTTTCTTTTCCCTTACGCTATTTGTTCATTACTAGGTGCCCCCCCCAGCTTTATTTAGATAACAATTGAAATATATTTTTCTTGACATATAACATTGTATAAGTTGAAGGTATATTACATAGTGATTTGATACATGTATATATTGTAAAATATTTACCATAATAAGGTTAGTTAACACATCTTTCACCTCACATAATTACCATTTTGTTGCTGTTTGTTCATACTGTTTTTGCATCTAGAATCCTCAAACATATGTTTTACTCTGACAGATTCTTTGTCAGGACTCTGGGAAAGCAATCCCAGTCTGTTGATGCGTTCTCTATTCTAACATATTAGTTAGGTTTCCAAGTTCTTTTTTTTCCCTTGATTTTATTTTTTTTAAGTAATCTCAACACCCAACATGGGGTTTGTACTCACAACCGTGAGATCAAGAGTCGTACACTCTAGCCAGGTGCCCCAGGTTATTTTTTAATTTTTGACATATAATATGACATTGAACATCCTTGGGCATGAAATTTGTGGATCTGTAGTGGTGATTAGGAATGTGGATTTTAAAACAATGGTGTTGTTTTAGTAATAATATATACTTATACAGGATTTTATAGTGTTTAAGTATGTAGGTATATGTTTTTAATCTTTTTTGCATTTAGTGGTGGACCACTTCCTCTTTTTTTTCCTTAAGTTTATTTATTTACTTTCTGCACTCAGTGTGGGGCTTGAACTCACAACCCCGAGATCAAGAGTCATATGCTCTTCCGACTGAGCCGGTCAGGCATCCTTTAATCTTTATATTGTAACATCTTCAGTAACATCATTGTAAAATCTTATTTAAATCTTTAGAGAGGTTAACTAAATTGTTCTAAGTGTCAGAGCCAGAACTGGACCACAGGTCTTATTTCTAGATGCTGGGAAGACTGTGATGAGTTGCCCAAGTGAGTGGCTCATCCAAGGTTAGATGTTTAACTGGATGGTATTCCTTGTTGCATTTTGGACCTTATGACTCTTCATCTTCCTCCAGGAAAGAGACCCTTCTCCTCAGTCTTTGAATATTCTCCAGGGAAAAAAACTAATGTTATTCTCTGGCTAAAGATGCTTTATTGGTCCATCCGTCATTGCTTAACCAACTGAGCCACCCAGGCATCCTATCCGTCATTGCTTAGATCAGAATTTTAGAGCACTCCTTGAAAATGATGGGTCTTTAGAGAAAAGGGTGATGTAGTTGAGTAAGTTTGGAAGAGAATATTGACCAGTCTCCCTTTTGTATACTTAGAGTGGACCAAAATTCTCTTCCTCCCATTGCTGCACAAATGTAGGGTCATTGCCAGTGCACTCTGCTCATTTCCCCCTATCTTCCTCAAAGACCCCATGGTCAGGTTGACCATTTGGTTACTGCTTCTCTGCCTGCATGCTTGTTACTGCCCACCTAGTCCCACATGTGCTGCCAACATCAGCTGCCTTCCACTCCAGCTAGTGGAATACCAGCCTCTCTTCCCCCAAAGAGTTATTGTACTCATTCTGACAGCATCTTTGTGAAGAAAAAAATGTCCTGTTTTTTTTCCCTTAATTATAAAAGTAATAAATTTAAATTATAATACAGAATTGCAAAAAGCAAAAGTCTTCTTCACCCTGAAATCCTACATTTTAGGGATAACTGTTATTAGTAGTTTTGTATATATCCTCCCAAATCTCTTTTCTTTTTCTTACTCTGCCAGGTCTCTTCTGAGCAACAGCTGAATCTTCTAAGTCTCATATGTCCAGTCTCATTCAGAATATCACAAGTGTTAATTTACCAAACCTCTATTCCTGTTTGCCTGGCTTGCTTGTGGAAGTCCAAGCCTTCCCACCCATCTCCTGAATTCGCATTATTCCCCAATTACAGTTTTATATTTGGGGATTTGTTGAGCCAGGAATCTGGGGTATACTTCCTTGGTGCTTCAGTACAAGGTGCTCTGGAAAACAGATTCAGATGGCTCCTGCAGCTGCTCTGTCACATTCCCAATGGGCTCTTGGGGGATTCTGTTACTGACCACTAGTTTACCAAGTTATTATAAAACAATGCAGTTCAGGAACAGGCTGATGGAAGAGATTGCTTCATATACTAGATTTGGCAGTGATTTTTTGGATGACACCAAAGCACAAACAACAAAAGCAAAAATTGACAAATGGGACATCAAACTAAAGCTGATGCACAGCAAAGGAAACAAGGATGTAGAGACAACCTACAGATTGGGAGAAAATATTTGCAAATCATTTGTCTGATAGGGGATCAATATCCAGAATATGTAAAGAACTGTGTGAAGCTTTCTTTCTTTCTTTCTTTTTTTTAAAGATTTTATTTATTTATTAGAGAGAGAGAGAGAATGTGTGTGTGTGTGTGTGAGAGAGTGAGTGCGGGGAGTGGCAGGAAAGATTCCCAAGCAGACTCTGCTGAGCATGGAGCCTGACGCAGGGCTCAGTCTCACGTCCCTGAGATCCTGACCTGAGCCTGAACCAAGAGTTGGACAGTTAACTGACTGAGCCACCCAGTGGCCGCCTGTCCGAAGCTTTTTGTCCTTCTTTTGCAATCTTAGTAAGCTTTCGTTCTGTGCTTCATGAAAATCTGTTCATCTCTTCAGATGCAACCAAAGTGTCTCTTCTGGACTCCCCCAGTTTTAGTTGAATCTTTTTTTTGTGTGCCTCTTGTTGTTCCTGTAAGTGACTATCTTTCTTGTTACTGGGGGAGTCCAGGATAGTATCTCCTTGGTTTTGTATCCCTGGTACTTAACACAGTGTCTGGCTCCCAGTGAGAGGTTCAGTAAATGTTTGTTGAAGTTGAGTGCATTTTTCAGTAGAAAACACGTGGGATAAGTACTTCTGGTTTTTGTATTCTGTCAGATATCTCATGCCATGGTCCTGGTTCCTGAACTTAAACAGCATACCATCTTAGGACTAGGTAGCTTCAGTATTTGTCTCTTTGCTTTCAGACCCTTGGAAATTCCTGTTATATTCTGCTGTCCTATCTCAAAGTGGAGATGTATACTTTGATGTCCTCACCAACAAATGAAAATAATCTCTCTCTTTCTGAAGGTTTGCCCTGAGGTATTTCAAGGACACTTCTCCAGTCTTTCAAAGACTCTTCCTAGAGAGCTCAGATGCTAATCCAGTCCGCTATGGGCGCAGGCGGATGAAGCTCCGGGACCTAATGGAAGCAGCTTACAAGTTTCTGCAGCAAGAGCAGTCTGTGTTCCGGGAGCTCTGGGACTGGAGTGTGTGTGTCCCTCTCCTCAGAAGCCATGATACCTTGGTCCGCTGGTGTGTAGCTGTTGGACTTTTCCTGTGTTTCAAGTGTGGGGATGATAGAGGGAGTGTAGAGTTCTGTGCATGAGGAGGGAAAGGAAGCTATGTAAAATGTGTTATTTTTGTTCTGGTACCTTTTGGTACCACTTATTTCTTTTCCTTAATCATGTGTCTCTTTAGTGGAAAATGAGGTGATACTAGTGGAGTTCCACCTTTTTCAGGTTCTATCAAGTGAATTCATCATGCCTGATTTGTGTTTTCTACTCTTAAATGTATTATATTAATTCCGTAAGATTTCCTTTCCTTTTTCTTTTTTAAAGTTTGTTTATTTTAGTAATCTTTACTTCCAGCGTCGAGCTCGAACTCCCCACCCTGAGATCAAGAGTTGCATGCTCTACCAGCTGAGCCAACCAGGCACCCCTAAGATTTCCTTTTTTAGTGTTTAGTTGGCTAGCAAATTTTCTTTATTCTTGAGAATCAGCTGCTTGTCTTGAGTTTATATACTTTGATTTTCTCCAGGTACACAGCCAATTGTCTTGCTTTGGTCACCTGTATGAATGAAGAACATAAGTTATCATTCCTTAAGAAGATTTTTAATAGTGAGGAGCTGATCCATTTCAGGTTGAGGTAAGAAGGAGGATTCCTGGAGATCTTGATGTGGCTTTGCTGTGCGTTAAAGTAATTGATGAGATCCTCATTTTCCTCAGGTTACTAGAAGAGGCCCAGCTGCAGGACTTGGAGAAGGCTTTGGTTTTGGCTAATCCAGAAACCTCCCTTTGGCGTAAGGAGAAGGAGCTGCAGTACTTACAGGGACATCTTGTTTCAGCTGACCTCTCTTCCAGAGTGACTGCCGTCTGTGGTGTGGTGCTGCCTGGGCAGCCACCAGTCCCTGGAGAGCAGGTCTGTTGGCATCAGTAGGGTGTGTGTCCTCTTCCCCTTCTTAAACACTGAGTGTGCTTTTTTTCCTTGGCTGGGTTCTGTGTTATAGGTGTGAGTCAAACTGAGTTTGCCAAATTGCTGTTCCATTTACAGAAGTATTCAGAAGAGATTAAGAAAAATTTACCCAGGGCCTTCTTCTCTGATATTTCCTTTGTCTCTGTTTGATGTTAAATTAGAAACTCTAATGATGCCCATATGAGGCTTTTAACTTCAGCAAAGCTCTTCCATATATTCTCTCTGTGACGTTATGTAGCACATGTTGTGATACCATATTTATGTGAAACAAAGGCAGCATGACTAGCCTGGCGACGCTTGGGCTGCCCTTTGGCAGAGACAGGACTAGGCCCAAGTATAACTGCCAGCAACTTTTTTCTGTCATAACATTCTTTTTGCTCATCGTATCGGAGGCTAGTAACTGTAGTGGACTTCCCCCTGCCATATGAAATGAGCTTCTTTCCAAGAAAATGGCTCCAGACCCACACTTTTGAAAGGTTTATAGATTATAATCTAGCTCTGTAATCTGAAACTGTTGGGAGCCAGTCTGTTTTTCCCCAGCAGTCTTTAGTCAGTTGTCACTTTATGTAATGGTCACATTCACCCAGGTTTCTTTTTGGGAGATGTCCTGGTCCTTCCTTGAATCATCAGTTTGTCCATTGGGCAGTACAGTTTTTAAAAAAAGAAGCATAATAGGGGGCGCCTGGCCGGTTCAGTCAGGAGAGCACGTGGCTCTTGATCTTGGAGTTGTGAGTTTGAGCTGCACCTTGGGTGTAGAGATTACTTCAAATAAATAACCTTAAAAAATAATAAAAATTAAAATTAAAAAAGGCACAATATGCATTAAAAATGCACATCTTCAATGTACAACTCAGTGATTATTCATAAACTGAAAATATCTATGTAACCAGTACTAGGACAGCAGCACTTCCAGAGGCCCCTGTGTTTCCCTCTAGTCACTAAGATCCTCCCAACCCCAACCACTCTCCTAACATAGCTTAGGTTTGGGGCATTAGAATTTTAACACAGGGAAGGATTCTAGTTGGGGTGGGCGTGATGTTGAGTAGCAGTGACAAGGCACCGGGGCAGAGGTATGGAATGGTGCTATGGCCTGCTAAATTGGTGAGAGTAACAGCCCTGCAGAGAGTTCAAGCTTCTAGCCCTGGGGCACCTGGGTGGCTCAGTCAGTTAAGTGGTTAAGCATTTGACTTTGGCTCAGGTCAGGATTTCAGGGTTCTGGGATTCAGCCCTGTGTCTGGCTCTGTGCTCAGCAGGGAGTCTGTCCCTTTGTTTCTCCCCTGCTTGTGCTCTCTCTCTCAAATAAGTAAAATCTTACAAAAAAAAAAAGAATTTCCAGCCCTGACTCTCATTTTGTTCTTACGTATCTATAGGGGACTAGCCATGTTTGAGAAGTTATTATTCCTTAAAAGTTCTTAAAATTCCACTTTTCTAAGAGATCTTTTTCCCTATGTTATATTGGGTACATTATTATTTGAAAAACAGTTTTTTTAAAGATTTTATTCATTTATTTGAGAGAGAGAGCATGAGCAGGGGAAAGGGCAGAGAGAAAGGGAGAAGCAGACTCCCTGCTGAGCAGGGACCC